TAAACGTCAAGGAACAGGGCTATGCCGCGGATCAGCACCCTGGACGCGTCAAGAAGTGGCGATATGGTAGGGAATGCGCGAGACTAGGCGGGCGACATGCGGCCAAGAAGAACCTTTGGGCCATAGCGAACGGCCTAAGAAGCATGCGTGCTGCAACCGAGGTGGGGGGCATGCAGCAGTTCTATGGCGGAGTTTGATCTCTTTCTACCCAGTAATCACCCTTGCTAATAGCTTTTCTGTAGTTATCGGCGGAGCAATCTGAAACAGTATATTGTAGTATGGTGTATATCGCAAGCTTTTCCTCGATACAGTTGGGTTTAATACCGAATCACTATGTAGCTCAATGTAATCATCCAAAACGTTTGTACGTCTAGACGGTAGTCTTGGATGGATGTGTTCAGGTGCGGGGCATACCGTGTGACCGGTGAAGCTACACGGCAGATCGGTGGAGAGCGGCAGAATGGCACTATGCAAGCCATGCCTGTCACCAGCCATCAAGTGAGGCGTGTGAGGCATTAACGCGGTCATGGTGTGCCACTGGTAGATGTTTGCGACGGTTAGCTTTGTTGTGGTTGCGAGCTTTGCGCAGACGCGTCTGTGGGAGCAACATTGCTGAACGCGTTGTAGGTATCGGATGTACCAAAACCACAAACAAAGACACTGCCGCCTACTGCCAAGGCTGTATCGTGCATTCGACGCGACACAATGCGGTCACGATACTCTGATGGTGTTGACACTGAGTGACTGCCTTAGCCACAGACGCGCCTTCCGGCTAGCTATCGATAGCTTGGTCCAAAACAGCCTTCACCTTCAAAACAGACGCGCATAGCCGGCACCAATGCAAGCACGGCATTTGTTGTTGTTGTGGTCCTCGAATCGCGACTCTCCAGAGCAACGTCCAGAGCCCACCGTGCGCACTAACAGACGCGTCGTGCCTGACTTACGGGATGAGTAACAGCCCTGCACGCGACGGGATCGCTGACCGCCAGTCGTGACTGTTTAGTCACAGCTTCCAAGACCCGGATGCAGACACGATGCAGGACTAATGCAAGAGCCGCATACACTATCCCGTGCGTCCTTCGAGCCGGTTGGTCAGAATGAGTGAAACGTTTCAAGCCGGCTCCAGGCTGCAGCCCCACTCGACCACTTGGTCGAATCGTCGCGTCAAACACCATATATACACGTCTACCCACCGCGAGATGGTCGCGTTTTCTGATCAATTCTTCGGCTGCTTTGCGTTAAGAGTTGGGAATCCGGTGGCGGGCTCGTTGGCATCTAGGGGAACGACCTTTGACTCACACCTGCAGCTCACGTGTAGTAGCGTCGGGCCCCGCTTTGCAACCATGCACCGCGCTGTGGTAAATACAGCTGGGGACGAGGTCGTGGCTGGTCCCGTCGGATTTTCTGTTTCCTGAGGTTTCGCTCTTACTCTTTCGAATGCTGGATGTTTGAAACGACTTTTACGATTTACTTGAGATTTACCACGAGATTGATACCTTGAAGAATAAACGACCTTTTTACCAACCAACACTATTGCATGCGACCAGCTCAACCATCACAACATGTACTCACAGCGATCATCGCCACCGCCACTGAAGCGCTCACATTCGGGTGAAAGCCAGAACAGCTATGCCAGCGCTGCGACAACAGTATCGCGCGCAAGCTCCAAGTTACTATTTGGAGAGATCCCATTGACGCCTGCGACGACAGTGGATGGACGATGTAAGTACTCTGTCGCAATGCGCGCGCAATCATCCTAACGTCATGAAGCAATTCGTTCCAATGGCTCCATCTGCAACCTGGTCCTCTCCACAAGCTCAGTCTTCTTGCGCTTCTGGTTGAACGACGCCTGCCGCGACAACGTACTGGATCACATGGAAACTGAAGACCTTTCCAACTTCCGCCTTGTATGCCATGACTTCTCGTCAAAAGCCGCGCCACGACTTTTTGAGAAGATGACCGTGACCTTCAAGACATCAACCTTTTCCAAGCCAGCGCGCATCGAAGCGCTATCGAGAATAGGCCGTCACGTCAAGACCTTTACCTTCCACATGCCACACGGCCCGGAGACCTGCTTGCCGCCCATCATCGACCCGTGCACTGGCACAGAAAAGCAGTTCATCTACGAACCCCAGGTCCAGACACCGCAACATGGACCGGCCAAGGACAAGGCACCCAAGTATGGCAGCTGGGAGATGCAGGACTTGCTCATCAAACAGTATCCACCACTGTTCCATGCCGCGACTAATGTCCCTGCCTTTTGCGCCGCCTTCTCTGAACTGATCAACCTCACTCATCTCAAGGTCTCATGTCCGGGATCTACTGGCTCACTTCGACACCGACGAGGTGTAGTCGACTATGCACTCATCTCTCTCCGCATTGCCATTGAGCGTGCTCCATTGTACAGCCTCTCTGCTCTTTCCCTCCACCCTATCCACCCTGGTGGCCTCTTATACCTCCACCCCATGCACGGCTTCGGCAGCACACCATCCTCAGCCAAGCGCTGGGGTCAAATCCGTCGCCTCTCAATCTGCATGGAAAGCATACCCTTCAACTCAAGCTCATCGCGCACCCGCGCCCAATCTCTAGAGCACCTCCGCATCCTACACGCCTACCTCGCCACACTCTCGCGCGGCCTGACGCGTGTCTTCTTCCGCTGGAAAGGCGAGCGAGGGCCTTCTCCCCTCTCACTCGACCGTGAACCGTGCATGCTTCCCAGCCGAGAGGAGTCTACGCACCCCTCTCTCCGCGGCCAAAGCCATGGTCCCCGCCCCTTGAAGTTCCCTCGCCTCCGTGTCATGGAACTGGAAAACGCGCTCATGGACTCCGCGCAAATCAGCGACTTCATCACAAAGCACAAGCGCTCCCTCCGCGAGTTCAACTTTGAAGACGTCAAACTGCGCGAGGGCGACTGGGATCTCGCGCTTGAACCTCTGACTACCATCTCAGGGAGTGATCGATGGAAGCAATACCAAGAAGAGGTTATGGATGTTCCCATCATGCTTTCGCCTATTGATGCCGAGCCCAGGGTCATGGGCCCGTTGCTTGAGAAGGTCGAGCAAGCGATCGAGGAGGTTAGTGGAAAGGAGAGGAGAGAACACGCGCTGTCGAGGTGGTTGGGTAGACCGCGACAGTCGAGCAAGAAAGATAGCTTCTGGGGTGGAGGAAAGAGGTTCCTGCATCTTTCGAGCTGGAAGGCCAGCTCGCCCGTTATGGTGAGGTGAACTGGCTGTGCGTGTTTTCCTGGATTCTTGTCTGGTACTAGGGAGTTTTGCTGTGGTATGTCACGGTTGATACCCCTCGGGCATGGTTTATGGCGTCTGCTTTCTGTCTTTATCGTTCTTGTTCTTGGGTTTGGGGTAACGGCCTTTCCTGTCCTCTCTTTTCGTCTTTCCTTTGTCTTGTCTTCCTCACGCTCATTACGACTCAACGTCTCTACGGCCTTTACGACTACTCCGAAAATCACGTTTGCGCATAATTACGATGGTATGAGTAGAATAGTATGACCTTACGATCATTCAATGACATTTCCTTCTGGTCCTTACCTTATATTTGCGCGCATCGCATCGGTTTAGCGTGATTTGGGTGTCTACTTTGGAATGAAGCAACTCTAGGGTTGTGCTCATGTTTTGCCGTACCTGCAAGGTGTGCGCACATCTAGTTACAGGTCACGTTCGCGCCTAAAGCTCAGTGTATGTAGCCCGTGCAGATATGGTAGTGATTCGCATCCGTTTAGTCGTTGGGCACCCATGCATTAGAAGTGTGTTTATTGAAGCAGACTCCGAGTATGCCGGAATATCCACTTGAACTGGTATATATATATTCGCCTCCAGCCTCGCATCTATAGCTTAGCCTTGTTCTGCACCTTCTTAAAGATAGGTTCCAACTTCGTCGCGCTCATAACATTTCCCTTGACCTTCAACTTCCCGCTCATAAACAGCTTCTGGGCATTCGCGTTGCCCGCCGCAAGCTTGCCAAAGTCCTCGTCGCTCAGCACCAGTGTGGCGGTAGCCTTCTTACCGGCGGGAGCAGGGCCCTTGCCGACCGTGCCGGTCTCCTTGAGATCAAGGTACCATGTTTCTTGTGCGCCCGCCTTGTTCTTGAGTGTGAAAGCGAAGATGGCTTTGCCGTTCTTGATGGCGTCTTTGCGGTCGGCGTCGGAAGCGGAAAGGGCTTGCGCGATCTCGTCGAAGGCGGCGGAGGCGGGGAACTCGTCTAGACATGTGTTAGTTACACCATTCTGAGGTTCAGTAGGAGGTTTGGTAGGGTCAGCATGTGCATACCGTTCTTGAGAGACATGTTGGCGATGTGTTGCTACAGTGGTAATGCGCGTTCGGGGGAGGTAGAGACTGATGGCGACGGTGGTTAGGCAGAAGAGGTTTGTGAAGTTGAAATCGCGAGTGCGGAGCAGTCTGGGGTATATAAGAGCTTCGGAGGCTTGTGACAGCAGTGATGATGTATGCAGCTGCGAATCTGGGGAAGCATGTGAATGAGTGAGTGGGCCGAGACCCTTGAAACGATCATGCCGAGGCATAACCGCTTTTGTACGGAGCACGTGGACTAGTTCTTCGGCAGACTCGCATCTCTTTCCTCAAATTACTTCAAAGTTTAACGATCCCTAGCAGCGGACAGCACCTTCAGGTTGCTGCGAAGTACTTTGAACTTATTGGCAGCGGCTTACTCTGTTGCATTTTGTCGCACCGTTGCAGTCAATCTGTGTTTCCACGGAGTGCCATTGCTACGACCTGATAGTTCTGGACGCTGGTGAGGTAGTTGCGGCGGACATTGAGAGCGAGCAGCTGGCGGCGCATCGACTTTTGCGTTTGACTCGACTAATGCTGTTGTATCAAGAGGTCGGGATGGTTGCGCGTTATTACGTCGCTGCAACGCTGAGCACGTGATGACGTGGAACAACGCGTGCGCGTCTCAGCTCGACGCGTTACCGTTTCCATCTCATCATTGCACCTTCTTATCAGCCACAACACTCAAATGCTCACATTATGAAGAACGATACTCACAAGACGTTCGGCGAGATCTTCGATGGCGATATCACGGCTTTCCGCAAGCAACTGCTAGAGATCCAACACATCCAAGCTGATCGGAAGAAGGCTGAAGACTGGGTATCGAAACTTCGCTTCTTAGATATTTCCAAAGTCCCAAACCTACTGGACGAGGAAGTTCAACAGCAAGTCTCTTACGCTTACGAGCCTCCCGATGACCCGTGGCTTGATCCAGAGATACCGTCGCATGAAATCCCTGTTACAGAGCGCGAAGATGACGACAGCGAGGTTGAATACATTGCTGTCTCTTGGAAGTGGGAAGAACGCCATCATGATGCAACCAAGTCACCTGTCTTCGAATACCAAATCAAGAGATCTGATGGCCCAGCCCATAAAAGTAGCTTTCCAGGCCGCTACATGGATCGAGTAATTCGATTCGCCCAGAGCAAGAGCATCAACGCGTCCAAATTATGGATTGACAAGGAATGTATATATCAGAGACGCGAAGACGAACACATCTTCCCAGATGACAAAGAGCTTGGTGTTCAGATCATGGACGTTGTGTATGGCGGCAGCACCTTGTCAGTTGGCTTACTTACGGTGGAGCTTGCACGCGAGCACGAAATTGACCTCCTATCGGAGCTGCTTCAAGGCGAAATCTTTGCCAATCCCAGGTCCCAAAGCTCGCCACGACTGGGACCCGGAGTTGACAAGAGGGCAGTACAGATGCTCATCCTGCGTATCTTGAGCGATCCACGCTGGTCGCGCGGATGGATTTTTCAGGAAGATCATTTGGCTTCCCATCGGATGATCCTGCTTATACCATGTCCCCGAGGTATTCGCAAAGATCGCGGATACAACTTTGGTGATACCATGGGGGAGTTACAAGTCAGACTCAAGGATTTCCGACAATCCGTTACCATGTTTTGCGAGGCCACCTACAAGGATCAAGGACGATGGCCGAATACTGAGTTTTTGGGAAAGGCAAAACAGTACAATATCTGCAATAAGAGCCTCGTATTTGGGGGTATCCTTCACGCCTACTCCCAGCGTCTTTGGAGGGATGATTCTAGCGATGAAAGCAACCCTAGAGTTGAAGCCTACCCCACTACGACTAACAGCGTTCTGGAAGACATTTGCAACCGATCACTGGAGCATGAGGAGGACAGGATCGCCATTCTTGCAAACGCTTTGAGGTTCAATAAGCGACTAAACCTCGCAAAAGATTCTCCCTTGCTCGAGGTGGGCCAATACAGTCTCTCTGTAGCACTGCTCGCACTTGTGCTCATGAATGGTGAGATTCTGCGCGATGTATCGTTGCAGAAAGATCTGATGACATTCACATTGCAGTCATACCTAGATGCATGCAAATACAAATTTGTTGTTCCTAACCTCAGATACCGGCAGAGTTTCGTCGACCGTTGCCGCTTCAGGTCACCAATCATCACTCCTCGTGGTCTTGAGACGAAAGGCTTCCTGTTCACGCTACTGCCTAAAAGGCCATCAAAGGATAGAGCACATAGATACAACCCTCTCCTCCTCACGACCTCGGATCGGCAAACCCTGTCGCCAATGGGCGGAGGTCCAATGCTTGGAGGCAAGAAGCTGAACAAGAATGCACACACAGTATTGAATCTGGTGGTCCGGAAGCTGGAGGCACTATGGCCAGGTAGTAAGCTCGCCAGGCATATGCTGCGGCACTTATCGTTCGACCATCGTCAGCGACAAGGGGAAGACGTACCGCCGTCTGCATCATATGTACTGGATATGATGTCCGTCCTTTACCAAGCTCTTTGTGAGGACGATCAAAAGCTACGTCTCGCGCGATTAGCTTCGGCCCCTTTCGACGGAGAGCCTGTTGCCATCTTTATTGAGCCGACGCCGGACGGCTGGATAATGGAGTCTCCAGACACCAAAACACAAGACGGGAAGCCGATTCTCGCCAACGTATTTACCAGCTGGGACGCCACGCGGAAGCCCTACAACAAAGACCGGGTCGTGAGCTTATCAGTCGCTATAGAAGATGGCAAGGGCACAAGACAGAGCTGGGACAGTCGGACTTGTTACATGGAAAATACGGGATGGGTATACGGAGTTTGGTATGCTGTAGGCGAGGAAATGGCTGACTATGTATTTCCTCTGCCGGGCATAACTGATCATCGCATATTCCAGGAACAGCTGGAAAGTAGTAGCGGAAGAAAGAGGAAGAGAGAGGTCGACGTTTGAAGGGTCCAGGAACCAGGGATCGACACCGCCCATGGCAATATGGAATCATGGCTCAGCAAGCATTGTCCTTCATCTTTTCTCTCGCAGTTTCTACGCATGCGCAGCCACAGGAGAAGGTTTGGTGCTGACTGGTCCAAACAAGAAGCAAACGAGCGTATCACTTGCTTCTTCACCGCCCTCCAAGAACCAACACCGGTCACTCAACCAAAGCATGTCTTCCCAAACTAAAAAGCTCGTCCTGAAATTCTCTCTTACCCCGCTTACATACCTGTTCACTCGTGCCAACTCGCTCTTTCAATCGCAGCGCAGGGCATGGAAAGACTTCGTCGAAAATTCACCGGATCCTGCTCTTGTAAAGCTGGTCAATGGCCCCATGGAGGATACTGGAAGACTGCTGAACATGACACAAAACTTTCTGCGAAAGCTCATCGACTTGGCAGAGATCAAATTGAAGCAGGTGGAAACGGAAGCACAAATAGCCGGTGCAGAATGGCTCGACAACCCGACCGATCCCATGAACAACGCCAGATTCCTCATGGCGAGAAAGGTTCATAGCGCCTACTTCAAGCATATGAGAGAGGCTTGGGATGTTGAATTAAAAATTATTCCTGGAATACAGGCGAGATTTGACGATATGGAGGACACGCTCGAGAAGCTCGCTGTGCTCATACCAATCGAGGAGCTGGCGCTGCCACTTGAGCCGTTCGTAGTCAAGGGATTAGAGGTCAACGACAGGATGTGGGTGTTTGCAATAAGGTTATTGGGCATCTTGCGGACGGTTGATATCCCCCTCGGTGTTGCGACTGTGGCTGTCAACGTCGAAAAGTACCCAGAAGCGGACAAACTTGCGCGAGCAAGATACAAATTTGGGGACTACTGAGTGTCAGAGGATGAGGAAGTGTCTGGTGCGTAAGCAAGAGCACCTTGGCTCGTCGCGAAGGTCTTATATCTGGGTCTTGAATTCGTAACATCCTGGGCACTGATGAAGCCCGCTAGGTCGCTTGCGCTGTCTAGTCTATAAATCGCTCTGGCCTATGCCCATCCAATTCTATAGAGATTATATCCACTCTCGTCACCTCTTCCAATACCCCGTCTCTTCTCTACAAACTCTCTTTCGAGAATCTTGAACGTGAACCCGCTGTCACTCTTCGGACAGAGCTCTGGTTCGAAAGCCGCTTCAACAGTATCGGGAATGCCTTCAAACTTGCCCGTCTTGCGCACCGTGACCATCAGCCAAAATACACCGTTTTGAGCCAGCAGATGCGCTGCACAATCACGTAGCCAGGCGGCGTGTTCAGGAGCGTAGACCACGTCTGAGGCGATGAGAAGATCTGATGCTGATTTCATGTTTGTGGGAGGTTGAGCCCAGTCCAGTATTGCGGTGTCTACAGGTGGCGTGTCGTATGAGCTGGAAGGGAAGTTTGTCTCGATGTTTGCGTTGCAGTTCTCCAGAACCGCAGGATGATAGTCGGTCGCCATGATACTGACAGGTCCAGCTCCGACCACAGGAAGTAATTTTGCAACTGCTAAGCTGACGAGTCCAGTGCCTGCACCGAGCTCGATGATTGTCCGCTTTCCCGCAAGACTGTCTTCAGTCAGTCCAAAGCGCTCTGGCTTGGCGCACATCATGCTACTGAGTACGATGCTGGCACCCCAGGACTGAAGTCCGACAGCTGTGTGATCTGTACTCGACAGTGGCGCATCATTGAGCGTGACCTTAACTGAATCTCCAGATGATGTGGGGAAGCAGAAGTCTCGTGTCAGTGCCTCTTCCTCTTCATCGGCATTCTCGAATAGACTTGATAGAATGAATCCAGCATCATCGACAAGTTTTTCCCGGACATCGTCGTCGACTTCCATCTCTTCCGAGCGCGCGAGGAGCGAGTTTAGCCATTGGGTGGCAAAAGTGCGCTCGAATGGATCTGCACGTAGAGCTGCTGTCACCTCTTCGGTTGTGACTTGGTTCTCATCATCTTCGCCCTCGTCTTGAGACGCGTAACCGGAATCCGCGGGTCCAGGGGGTGAGACGATAGATGTGTGCTCTCTTTTCGATGTCGGGTGTGATATAGTAGTTGGAAGGCGTACAGGACAGTACAGCGTTTGTAGGTTTCTCAGAGCGGCGAAGATTTGATCTTCCGATGCCGATAGCAGTGAACGAATAGGTGGTAAACTGCTTGATGGTGGCAGGCAACTGCCAGTGAGACTGACACTCATCTGACGCCTCGCTAACAAATGAACAGACCAAGGAACGCACACAGGGAAAAGGAATGTGGAGAGAAGGAAGAAAGAACTGGAGAAGACGTGGAGACAAGGGCTCAGTCAGAACAATCAAGCGGCCAAGGCAAGGGACAATTTGACGATACTTAGTTTAGCCTCACGCTCGGGCAAAGTCGTGACTTCTAGATCTTTTCACCGCCTGTCATTTGGCCTCGTGGGCGCATGTTTGGACCTAAAAGGCAAGTGCACAGCAGGAGCTTGCTTCGTCGGACTTGCACAGTACATTCCAAAATCATAGTACCCGTCGTACTCGACATTTACAAGACGGCATGCGGCACTATGAATGAATCAGCCGGTACATCTAGGGGTAGTGATTTTTGCGTGGGATTGCCACGTGGGTCGCTAAGCCGAGCCTCATCGACGCTAGACCATGCGAGGCCTAGCTATCAGATCCAATGGTCAGAGACCCATACTAGAAATCTTCGGTCAACACCGGCAAACTCGAATTGTGCCGACGGAAATAACCTTGAAACATCTTGGTATACTCTATCAGGAATTTCGCGCAACACGTCGATTGTAGCACTAGTGGCTTGGAACCGCCTTGTGGGCTGATGCCCAGGCTGCTCAGTCGCTGGCTACACGGCCCTTTACGATCGTGTTCTCAAGGTAGATAAAGAGGGACAATCTTGCTATCTTCCGACAAGAACTCATTTCTCCACCATCTTCTCTTCCATAGCCTCCGGAGGTGTATCCGTGCCTTCACCGTCCACAACCATCGGCCCCTTACCCGGCTTCTTCCTCCCTGTGATGTCCATGTATATCGACTTGAATGTCCTGACACTTGTTTTCCTCCCCTCCCAAAGCGGATACAACCCTACTGCGAAGCACGAGCAGAACATCCACAAAATGCCCACGACAACCCATCCAGTGAAGAACTTCTTGCTGAAAATATACGAAGAACCGTACATGGGCATGGGCCACAGCACGAGAAAAGATATTGCCATGAATAGCGTGAGCCAGCGCGCAATACGCGATGCTTTGAGTAATTTGGCTTGTTCCTCTTCATCGGCTTCGATAGCTCGTCGTTGTTCACCGGGGATCCGTTCTAGATCGACGTTCGCGGCAAGAGCAAGGTCGTGGTCGTCGCCTCTGCGGATAGCCTTCATGCTCTGCCAATCGTAATTCTGGGGTCCAAAAGCGTACGTAAAGACGGGGATGAAGACGACGGGGGAGAGGAGGGCGACAACGTTTCCTGCTAGCATAGGGTTGTTGGCGCCCGTAGTGAGCACAGTGAGCTCGCCACTCTCTTTCTGGGCGGTGACGAGCCAAGCAATGAGGGAACAGGCGAAGCCGAGAGGTGGTGTGAAGGTTGCTGCGACCCAGTTCATCTTTGACCACATCAGCGTTAGAGTGGCGGGCAGGACAGCGGACGAGATTATGACGCCCATGAGGAGATACAGGTAGCCCATGCTGATGCCGATGTAGTAAAGCCCTGTACTCCAGGCTGCCATTGCGACAGCGAAGCCGACAACCATGGTGTGAGACATGTAGATGAGCTGTTTCCCAGTAGCTTTAGGGTTGACGTAGGTCTATATTTCGTCAGCTCAATAACACATTTTCGTGAACAGTGGATCCATGCTTACCTGGTAGAAGTCGTAAGTGAAAATGGAAGAAACAGCAATCAGCTCAGCAGACATGGCGCTAGTCACAGCCATGAAAACGAGAAGCAGAACTGCAGCCGCTCCTCCCGAACCCATGAGAGCAACAGCGGCCGTGGGCAACACAAGCCCAGCCGTTACGTCAGCATCGGCCATGCGGTTAGGATAGCCGGGGAAAACAGGGTTGTTCTCTAATGCGATCGCGCTGAGACCCATTGTAGTAGCGGCTAGCCATGGAATTGCGAACCAGGATAGACCACCAATGATGTATCCGGGAAGAGCATCGACGGGACTAGCAGCGATGGCTTTGTTGTAGTATCCGTTGTCGCAGAACACAGTACCGAAGTTGCCCACGATGTTAATCACGAAGAAGATTGCACCTTCTTTCGATCGCATGGTTAGGTAAGAGCCTCCGGCGTTTCCTTCAACTGGATGATCCGCTGCAGCTTGTACCAGTAGGTCGAAGACTTTGCCAGGGCTTCCGAGATTCTCGTTGGTTGCATACGCGGTAAAGGCAAACATCAAGAGGATGATCAGAATGACAACAGTGTGTGCTAGAGATAATCTTAGCAACTTTTTGCTGCAAGTGTAGAAGGAAGTAATTTACCGTAGTCAGTCAAGAAAGTGGCCTTGATGCCTCCAAACATGGTGTATAGAACTACGCCAACAGGTAACAGGAAGCAAGCAGCAGCAGTCGGCATGCCAGTGAGCTTGAGTAAATTAGTACAGATAGATTATTCGTCGCTTTTGACGTACCGAAGTCACAACAGCGGAGCCTCCAGTCAACAACATCGAAGTGACGAGGATGTTGGTAAAGAGACCAAAGACCATAAAAACTATGTGTGTGACAGCGCCGTATCTGGCGCGAATAACCTCAAGGAAGGTATGTGCATTAGGTGCTCTTCGTTTCAGCTCGATAGCAATTGTAGCAAATAAGATGATCTGCACAGTCGCTCCCGAGGCGTACCAGAAAGGGCCAGATACTCCATATCGGTAGGCAACTGCGCTCGATTGGAGAAGTGTTGCCGCCCATGTCCAGGATGATACTACGGCTGACGCGACAAGTCCCGATTTTACTGTACGACCAGCTGTCGAGAACATCTCAGAGGTTTGAAGTTCGTAGTTGTATCTCTTCAGCACGAATGTCGTCAAGATCATACCGAAGCTTTGCCGAGTTAGTAATACCCATCTATGGGAGACGTAAGACTTACGAGAAGGCAAAGCCTAAACCGATTACGATGCCATAGCCAAAGCCTTGGCTTAGCGGCGGAGGTGTACTCATGCTGGGTGAGTTAAAGACACCTCAAGTGACGAGCGGCTGGCAAGTGGAAAGTGCGATGCCAGAGGGATGCCGGAAGTTGAAATATAGTTAACCTTACTGCTTAGCTTCGCTTGGAGATTTCGCAGAAAGCTTCGGTCATAATCTGCCGGCATGCGATCCCTAGGAGAGGGCTTTAACCATGATAAAGCAAGAGCATTACCGTTCATCGGCCGGACGCCCAAGGCAGGTATAGCCAACCGTAGGGCTAGCGTGCATATTCGCGGATAATTATTAAAGGTGACAACGATCACAGCTCGACGTCTGCATGGTTCTGCAGGCTTTCGTGGGGTTGGGCAACAGGAGGATGCACACCATGTGCGGAAACGATCTTCCAACCCCGGTATGGTCCGATAACGCGACGGAACAACGTAGATAAGATGCGAACTCTTGTGTGGCAGCTTTTACTCACAGCCAAGCTGCGACCAATCGCAAGCTTGTACGGCTTCGAGATCGTTGGGTTCAGGCAGCTGCTCGCGGCTGTCAAAACGCGGTTGTATATCGTGTCGTTGAATGCATTGCATTGCGAGAGGTAGAAGCCGACGGGCTCGCAGCCTTCCAGCCTTGAACGTTGAAACTACCGAGGCGAGGGTTTGCAAACCCGATGACAAGATGCAGGAATAACGTTGGAACATGGAAAAAGCATTCGTTCAGCGTCTCTTCCGTCAAGCTTCAACGGCAATCTTA